GCACCAAACCTCATAAAATTCTAATTTTCTAGTGGGATTTGGCCGTCTAATAACCAGAAGATCTAGATAACAATCCAGGCTGATTATCAGAATCGAGGTTCTGTTTTTACAAACAAACCCGGCACTTCCATTTTTCGAATAAGCTGATACAATCCACGCACCAAACCTCATAAAATTCTAATTTTCTAGTGGGATTTGGCCGTCTAATAACCAGAAGATCTAGATAACAATCCAGGCTGATTATCAGAATCGAGGTTCTGTTTTTACACACAAACCCGGCACTTCCATTTTTCGATGTCCATAAAGAACAAAATGATCAACCAAGTGAAGCCCCAAATATGAATGCCTAAATTAAAACACCAGCATTTGTAAATTCAAACAAAGCACCAGCATTTGTAAATCGAACAAAGTATAGCGGTTTGCATTTGCATGGGCAACGTGCCGATGATATCAAAAGGGCTAGCAAGAGAAAAGAAGAATTTACCATCCTCCGAAGCCATTGATTCCAGATGAGCAGCCACCACCATTTTGATGTTTTTCTCAAGCAACGAGTCCTAACCCTAGCCAGCCCTGTGTGTAAATGGCTAATGGCAGTGTAATCAAATTGTTCGATGAGTTGAGCTTTTATGGCATCTAACTGGCGGGTTTGAGAAAATGTGGCGCTATTTTTTCAGAGGAAATTTTTCAACTTTTTTGGCTGCCGCCAAATGGCCAAATATTTAGGGTGGTTTATTTATTTAAAAAAAAAAAAATTAAGTAGACAAAAATAAAAAATAAAAAAAAAAAAGAGTGGACCAAAATCAACAGCCGTATTCTCATAATACGTCAATAAAACGTATTCTGATAATACGTGTTAAAAAAAGGTAAAAATTAATAAAAAAAAACGTTTTTAAAAAAAATTTGCAAAAAAAAATTGGCAAATAATAATTAAAATGTATTTTCATAAAACGTAATTTGATAATACGTTTTAAATAAAACGTATTATGAAAATACGTTTAAAGAGAAAAATAATTTTTTTAAAAAAAATAATATTTTTAATAAACCGTATTCTCCGAATACGTTTTATAATTAAATTGTCGGTAAACGTATTTTCAGAATACGTTTTTTACGTTTAATATAAAAAAAAATCTCTTCTTCTCCTCCATTCACGCAGCTCCATTCACAGAGAGACAAAAAAAAAAGAAACACGAAGCGATTTTGAGCGAATCGATCCCGGCTTGAACCGACA